CATACACAAAAGCTTGACGATTCAAGTCATCATGACCACCGATTGATCGAGTACACCCGATAGGTTTCACTAGAGAAGGTTCAAAGGTGACCCTCACTTATTTCGATGCAATTATTTCTCGTTGAGGAATCACACTTCACATTCATGTTCATGTGCATTTGGTCACAATGAATTGACTTCTTATTTATGTGGGAGATTGTTTGATTTTTGTTTCTAAATCCTATAGGTTATAATAAAAAGTGGTTTGAAGAAAAAAAGAAAGAAGGAAAGTGAAAGGGGTGTGTGGGTAGAAGTTTCACATTAGACAAGAAATGAAAAGTAAAAGGGTTTATAACCCTCCACTTCACCTCTATAGTTTTCCCCTTGGGGCATACCACTTTTATGGAGGAGGGAGGATGCAGATGGGCCTTGTTCCTCCACGCGTGTGTGCACCGCCGTCGTACGACCTGCTCGGCACGACACGACACAACATAGTACGGTCATCTGTGAGATAAAAAGAATATATAATAGCTTTTTATTAAATTATTTTGTAATTTTTTCCAAACATCCCCTGCAATTCCCTATTCGTTGACCTTTGACAGAATTTTTTCTAAGTTACTTTATGCGTCTATAGTGTTAGTGCATTCTGCCATAGACTTAGTAAATGCGATTTCTCAAGCATTTGGTCGTGTTTGAGGGGGCTCCATATTGGCAGTGCCACCACATTCTGGAGACATAATTCGTTTTATCCTGGCAGATGATTGTCCACATTCCCTCGGCACCGGTAGAGGGGACAAATTGTCTTAAGACAACACACATCGGGCTCGAATTTTCTGCATACAAGCATATGTTTCTAACATTCTGTGACTTTTTTCATATATTCTTTTTATTGTACTTTGCTTGTACGATTAATTACAATATATTCGTCACAGATTCAGATCTCTCGGTGATTTCACCCAATGAAAAGTGATTACACCTATTCTTGATGTCCAAGTTGAATTCTTAATCAAAGTATAATTCACTTTCTCATCATTATTTTTTTATTTTTTGCTTTTCACTTAGATTGTTGTTGTAAAAATTCTTTTTTTTTTTTGTTTTATCTTCATTTGATAATGAATTATTTAGTTCATGAACCATTCATTTCACTACGAATATATCTAATCGATAATGAAAAATATTAAAAACTTATTCAATAATGATTGTGGGGGGACCAAAAAGGATTAAGGTTGGCTATTGTCCTCACCAAAATTTAAAATTGAAATTTTACTTTGATGATAAACTATGAAATAAATATAAATTTGGCCAACTTCATCAAAATATATATGTGTTCTTGGTGAAGGGATCCTGTAGCGAAGTCGTATTTTCGTGTGGGGTGTACATGTGTTCTTGTTTGTACCTAGGGTTAAGCTATTTTGGGATTTGTCTTTTTGTTTGTGTATATACAACTGATTTGTAAGTGTCTATTAAGCCTAGAAGATACCAGTATTCTATTTTAATTTAAAACACAAACATAATTAGAATTTAAATGTATGAACCTAACTTTTAAGATTTAAAATCAGAATCGTACATTGAAATGCAAGTTTCTTATCATTAACAGAATCAATATTGAGATAATTGTTTGTTGGCTATATGATTCTGTTAATCCAGGATATTAGATAAGAAGTGCACTTGGTCCGAGGTTTAGGAGATTGCCAACAATAATGTGATCCAAAGTGGCAGGGAGAGACATCCTTGTTTCGGTTTTGAGTTCTTGCCTTATACTCGGGAAAGATTTCACAGCGTGAAACAAGGTATTTTGAGATAGGAATGACGATCCAAATGTTAAAGTTAGATGATGTATTTGAATTATTAGTGCTTACTAATGTTAACGTTCTTATGATGTACAGAAGTACTGTTCAAATAATGATTTTGTGTGGTTCAAATTCTTACACACGTTGAGGATCGGCGTGGAAAAGGCTATATTCTTTCTGTTCATTATAGCTCGTTGAGACTATTAAATTTAGAGGGAGGATATTTGAGGATATTTTTACTACTAAATTTTTTTACTACTAACTTATTACCTATCTAATCACTATTGAATCAAAGAGAAATAATGCTAAAAAGTTTTTGAAAAAAGAGAAAATGTTGTTCCAATGGTGATTAGATAGGTAATCAGTTGGTAGTAGAAAATTTTGGTAGTTAAAATATTCCTCCTCTTAAATTTATTGTTAAAATTCTATTTACATGTATTTTTCATTATGTCATCGTTCCAGGTACCAAGCCATACTTGAGTTCATAGTGTTTTTGTGAATTATGGCGGGATGATGTATGGGCTCAAGTTACTAGAAGAACATGTAACTAGAGCTGTTAAAATGGGCCAGCCCGTCGGGTTAAGGCCAAAAAGCTCAGGATCAAATGAACATCAATAATCAATGCCGGCACAGGGCAAAAACTCTATTGGTTAGGGCAAACCGAAAAATCAAAAACCAAAAAAAAAATCGCAACTTTTAATTGGGTTGGATCGGTTTTCGAATTACTTAAGGAAAATCGATCCAATCCAAACCGATCCAATATATTAATTTTCCTCTACTTACTTTGGTCTTTCTCCAATCATAATCCAAAAATTTCTAAATCCTAGACCCATTAACCCATCAACTAAACCCAAGAAAAAATTTAGTTACATCTCATCAACAAAATTTCATCTGCGTAGAGCTTCATGTCTCATTGCCACCCCCCAAAAAACTATATTATCGTTTACTGATGCTTTTGTATTTCAAATTTTTTTTTACAAAGCCAATATATATACAAAAAATGTTATCTGCATGAAACAAATTTTAGGATTTTCAAAAAATCGAAAATCGATCCAATCCAAATCGAAAAAAATTGGATTGGATCAGATTGAATTTGAAAAAAGTTCAAACCGAATGGATGATTACATGGTCAAACCGAAGGGATTGGATCAGATAATTTTTGCTTTCAAAACCGATCCAATCTAGACCACGAACACCCTTATTTGATATATTCTAAAGAGTAAATACTATTTTTTGTCCTCAAAAAATTTCACAATGCCCGCTTTAGTCTTTAGCAAATAAAAAGGCTATTCGTGGTCCCTAAGAGATTCAAAATGGACCCATTTAGTTGAAATCGTGGTCCCTCACAAATTCAAAAAAAAACTTATAATAGTCCCTCAAAAGGACTAAAATGGGTCCACTTTGAATTTTTTAGGGACCACGAATAGCCTTTTTATTTGCTAGGGACTAAATTGGGTATCGTGAAATTTGATGAGGACCAAAAAAGGTATTTACTCATTCTGTAATCATCACACTAATGGTGTGTTGAATTGTAGAATACATCCAAAGGGGTGTTGTAAAGTATTATGGATGACCTTTCACATGGATTATGGATGGCGCCTGTTATGGACCCGTATAAAGGGCTCATAGAATGACAGGCCCAATAAGGGGCAATCCAAGATTCAAATCAAGGATAATTATGGATAGTATCCATCAAGGATACTAATCCTAATGCGACAGCATAGCAGACAGGCCTAGGCCCTCATCAGAGGCACTAAAGGCCCACATCATTTTATCCACAGGTAACCTCTATAATTACAAGGTAAACCCTAAAGGTACGTTACGCTCTCTCTCTCTCTCTCTTACTGTTATGCTGTCACTGTGCGCACACACACACCCCATTGGCAAAAGTCGTTATTAGTTCTTTGTGCATAGTGATCTGATTGACTCAAGGGTATCTCTTTCATAGATACCTTGGAGAGGGCACTGTAGATCCAAGATCAATATACCAGTACATTGGGCTGGACATCTCTGTCACCTAGACAGAACATTGGCACCGTTTGTGGGGAATAATCTTTGAATTTGATTTCCCTCCGTTCTAACTGAAGATGGCAGTCCGAACATGGAGTAATAGCCAATAACCACACCCTCAAAATCAGTTGCTGGATCCAGTCTTGGAAGAGGTGAATCAACCTCAAAACCAGCCGGAGAATGAAATGAATTATAATCATGTTCATGTCAGTGAGGATGTGTCAGGCACAGCCTCCACCCCAGCATCCCATGATCGAGTTGCGGCTCCAGCGCTGAATAATCCTCCCCAACATCGTGGGGATACTGCTGCTACTCGCGTTGCCCAACCTGCGGATCCAGATTCCAGACTTGCTCAAAACGCAGTTGCTGCAGTTTTGCGGCGAATGGAGGAGATGGAGAATCGTAACAACCTCCAGCGACAAGATTTCTAGAGAATGCAGGAACAAAATACCCGGATGATGCAGGAGTTGGAGCAGCGCTTGATGGGGATGGCAGGGTCTGGAGTGAGAGAGGCCCCAGGCATAGATACTAATGGCCAAGAAGGAAACCATAACCCAGATCGTCAAAATCGGGTTACTGAGGTAAAGAACCAAGGAATGGCCAATCCTGGGGTCACATTGGCTACAATCCTGAGAAACAATGTAAGGCCCAATCTTGGGAGTACGTTGGGCCCAAACACAGAGAACATTGGAATGGGGGAACAAAATGCTAATGCGCAAACTTTGACCCAGAATGCTTCGGCAGGACTAATTGCGCAAAGAAACTCGGATGAGGTACACCCCAACCAAAATACTTAAGCCACCAGAGGACTCGTCGAACCCGGTGGGTACAGGAGGAAATACAGTAGGGGGCAGTATAATAACAGCCCATTTACTGGTGAAATATTGAATGCTCCTTTCCCGGAGGATTTTGATTCGGCACGCTTGCCGAAATATGATGGAAGTCAGGACCCACAGGTCCAAATAGATGCGTTTGATACGGACATGTATATCCGAGGAATTAATGAACCCTTCATATCTCGGATATTTGCAATAACTCTGACTGGGGCAGCACAAGCATGGTTTTCAACCCTCCCTGCCAATTCTATTGGACCTTTTGAGGAATTTGGAGAGAAGTTCCTTCTGAATTTTGCAACTAGCAAAAAGCATCCAAAGTCCGAGTTCGTACTTGGCAAAATATGACAACAACTCGGAGAAACCCTCTATAGGTATCTTAACCAGTTTAAGGATGCTGCCTTGCAGGTGCCAGGTCTACCCACGTACATCTCATTGTGGCTGGTTTGGATGGAGGATCTAGACTTGCCAAGTCGGTGTATAAAGACCCAGTGAGAATGTTGGAGGAGTTTAGAACTTGTTCCAAGAAATACTTGGAACTCGAACAAATGGAGATAGCAAATGCGCTATCAGAGGAGGGTAAAAGAGCAAGTCCAAGAAGGAGGAGCCCGACCCCAAGAGAAAAGGATCGATCTAGCAATAAAAAGAAAGACTCCAGAACCAGGATCCTGGATGATAGAGACCGGGTTAGAAAATATGAGAAGTATACACCGTTGAATGCCTCACGCTCTCAAATTTGGAGGGAAGCGGCAATGACGAAGATGAAGAAAGTAGATAGACCTCGGCCCATATTCGATAGAGGAGGTTTGGATAAGTCCAAATACTGTGTCTTCCACGATGGACCGGGTCACAACACTGATCAATGCTGGGATCTCCAAGATGCTGTGGAGAAATTTGTTAGAGAAGGAAAACTACGCCAGTATGTGATGAAAACTCAGGGTGCCAAAAACAACAAAAGAAAGTCTGAAAATCGGAAGAGGAGTAAGAGTTTGGTCCCTGAAAAGAAAAAGAAAGAGAAAAGGAACCGGAAAGATGATTCCAATAACGATGAATTCCTGGAAGCCGAATTCGATTGTAATGTGATTAGTGGAGTTCTGAGAGGAGGAAGAGACACTGTAAGTGCTAGGCGAAAGTACCTAAAAGAAGAGTTGTCGATCCGGGATCGTCCTAAATTTAAGGAAGACCCCAGTAAACTGCATGCATTGCACGATGGATATGAAGAAGTAGACCATTATCCCGACAATAATGAGCCAAGCTAGTATTTGCGGTGAATCCACCTGTTAAGTAGTCATGCATTATAATAGGAACGCCCAATTCTCTCGCAAATACAGCTCTTTTGATCATCTCTTCACATGTACCTGCAGTAGCATTCAAGTAATGCCCTTTGATTTCTCTTGTTTTGGCCTGTGCTTTATAAATGGCTTCAGCACAAAATAAGAAACGGTCTCTCCAACGTATAAATGGTTGAGAATTCACATTTTCATTATCTTTCGTAAAATCAAGTCCACCGCGAAGACATTCATAAACTGCTCTACCATAATTCTTAGCGGATAATCCCAATTTAGGTTTAATAGTACATCCCAATAGAGGACGGCCATACTTGTTCAATTTATCTCTTTCAACTTGGATACCGTGAGGCGGACCTTGGAACGTTTTAATATAAGAATTAGGTATTCGCAAATCCTCCAGACGTAAAGCGCGCAGGGCCTTGAAGCCAAATACATTACCTATAATGGAAGTAAACATGTTAGTAACAGAACCTTCTTCAAAAAGGTCTAAAGGATAAGCTACATAAGCAATAAATTGACTTTCTTCTCCAGCAACGGGTTCGATGTGGTAGCATCGTCCTTTGTAACGATCAAGACTGGTAAGCCCGTCGGTCCACACAGTTGTCCATGTACCAGTAGAAGATTCGGCAGCTACCGCGGCACCTGCTTCTTCAGGTGGAACTCCAGGTTGAGGAGTTACTCGGAATGCTGCCAAGATATCAGATCCCTCCTACAATGGATTCCAATTGCTATCCTTCATGGATGCTTATTCGGGTTATAACCAGATCCCGATGTATCCTGAAGATCAAGAAAAAATTGCCTTTATTGCTGAAAAGACCAATTATTGCTACAATGCGATGCCATTTGGGCTCAAAAACTCTAGGGCTACGTACCAGAGAATGATGAACAAAGTGTTCGAGGATCAATTGGGCAAGAATGTAGAAGTGTACATTGATGATATGATCGTTAAGTCATTCGATACGACGAATCATGTTCGAGATCTGGAGCAGACATTCCAAAAGCTTAGGAAGTACCGCATTCGGCTCAACCCGGTAAAATGTGCATTTGGAATTCCAGCAGGGAAATTTTTGGGTTTCATGCTAACCCATAGGGGAATTGAAGCAAACCCCGAAAAATGCAAAGGCATACTTGATATGAAAGCTCCTCAAAGCAAGAAGGAGGTTCAGCAATTGACTAGTATGCTGGCTGCGCTAACCCGGTTCTTACCCAAGTCAGCTAAGAATGCCATCCCATTCTTCAAATTATTAAAGAAAGAAGTTGTGCAAGGCTGGAACCTGGAATGTCAATCCGCATTTGACAAGGTTAAGAAATGCTTGACAACCCCACCAGTACTGTCTAAGCCAGAACCAGGAGATACCCTGATCCTGTACCTGGCTGTGGGGGAAGAGGCAATAAGTGTTGTTCTGATCTAGGAAACCAGCAAAGGTCAGGAGCCAATTTACTTTGTTAGTAGGGCCTTACAAGGTACTGAGTTGAGGTACCAGAAACTGGAAAAAGTGGCTTTTACCTTGCTGATTACGGCGAGGAGGTTGCGGCCATACTTTCAGGGACACCAGATAATAGTTCGCACTAATCAACCTATACGGCAGGTGTTGCATAAGCCAGATCTGGCAGGAAGAATGACTAACTGGGCAATTGAACTCTCTGAATACGACATAACGTATGAAAGTCGTAAGGCCATCAAATCACAAGCTTTGGCCGACTTCATAATGGAGCTCACCCCGGTTAGCCCAGAAATAGGAGAAGCTGAAGATACTTGGAGGGTATATATAGATGGATCCTCCAATGATAAAGGAAGTGGAGCTGGGATCATACTTGAAAGTCCAGAATGGGTGCCAATAGAACACTCCCTGAACCTGGGTTTCCCAACTTCCAATAACCAAGCAGAATATGAAGCCCTAATAGCCGGGTTGATGCAGGCTAAGGAACATGGGGCTAAAAAGGTTAAAGTCTTCAATGACTCTCAGTTGGTGACTCTCAGATAGAAGGAAAATATCAGGCCAAAGGCCCTTTGCTGATGAAATACTTAAACAACGTTCGAGAGATGATGGTTGAGTTTGATGAGATGAAAGTCACCCACTTTCCTCGAGGGGAAAACAGCCGAGCTGACATATTGTCTAAACTGGCAAGTACAAAAAACCCAGGAAACCACAGAACCGTGATACAACAAAGTAGAATGGAGCCGAGTTGCGTGATGATAATCACCTCGGCAAGTGACCAGAGGCAATCCATAGTGGCATACCTCGAAAAAGGGACATTGCCTAAGGATCCAATGGAGTCTAGAAAGCTGGTCTGAGATGCAACACAATACACAATTATGGATGACCAGCTATATAGAAAGGGGTTGCACATTCCTATGCTAAAATGCTTAAACTCGAAAGAAGCAGACTATGTGTTGTCCGAGATACATGAAGGAATCAATGACCAACACATGGGGGCAGAGCTCTAGCTAGAAAAGCCCTCTGAGCTGGCTATTACTGGCCAACTATGGAAGCAGGCTCCAAAGAGCATGTCAAAAGATGTGATAGTTGTCAGAAGCATGCCAAGCTAATTCTTTCGCCACCGGAAGAATTGAAATACATCTCAGCTCCATGGCCCTTTTTAAAATGGGGGATGGATTTGCTGGGACCCTTCAAAGCTGCGGAAGGACAGTTGAAGTGGTTAATTATGGCTGTAGATTACTTCACCAAGTGGATAGCAGCAGAGCCGGTTACCACAATAACCTGGGCCAGAGTACAAATATTCTTTGAAAGGAACATTGTCTCCAGGTTTGGAATACCAGCCGAGGTAGTGACTGATAATGGAACACAGTTTGCTGATAAACCGTTCCAGGAGTTGATGAAAGACTTAAAGGTCAAACACCGCTTCGCATTTGTGGAACACCCACAGTCAAACGGGCAAGCTAAAGCTGCAAACAAGGTAATTGTTGACGGGCTCAAGAAACGAATGATGGTTGCCAAAGAAAGCTGGGTTCATCAATTATACTTTGTCTTGTGGGCATACCGAACAAGTACCCAGACAGCAACGGGGGAAACCCCCTTCAAATTGACATATGGGTGTGAAGTCATGATCTCGGTGGAAATTGGAGAACCCTTTTGGAGGAGAATGAGTGTTATTATGCAGAACAAACAAGAAAAAGTAAACTTCTTACTGCTGAGTTGGATCTCATTGATGAAGCTAGAGTCACAGCTCATTGCCGGGATATGATGGCCAAACAATTGATAGCAACTAGGTACAACAAAAAGTGAGGTCAAAAGTCTTTGAGAAAAATGACTTGGTACTCAAAAGAGCAGACATCAGCAATAAGAATGCCAGAGATGGAAAGCTAGCTGCAAACTGGGAAAGTCCTTATCGAGTTGAAGAAAAGCTTGGAAGAGGAGCCTATGTCCTGGAAACAACGGAAGGCAAAGGAATTAAGAGAACCTGGAACGCGGATAAACTGAAAAAATATTACAGTTAAATCTTGTATCCACCTTCTGAAGATTTGAAACATTTCAATTTATTTGAAGTTTTTCTAGGCGAATTATTTTCCTTTTTTAAGGACTTGACTAAAGCCGAATATGCCGACAAATTCATGTAATCGACAAGTTTGATATCAATAAATGAGAAATTTTTCTTTTAAGATTTATTCTTATTCAGTTGTGATGCATCGTTACACATTCTAAGGTGCAAGTGCAGTTTGTCATACTGACTCTGATCAAGTCAAAATGCTCATTTCCTCGGTCAAATGACCAAAGGGGGATAAGTGACAATACTGCCTTTACCTTGGGTAAAGCTGGGTTACAAAACTCAGGTTATGATGAAAGGGTTCACTCAGCAAAGACAATTGCTATCATCAATGCAGACTTGCCAAAATGGTTAAATCAATATAAACATGCGTCATAGAAAATGACAGAAACAGAATCTGTATAATGCTTTTTGACATCGGCCAGGTCAGTAAATTGACAATCGTAAAATGCATGAGTTGCAAAAATGAAAGTATAGTCGAGTTATTAATAATAATCCATGTGGGGTGGGGAACAACACGACTAAGGTTTAAGAAAACTTGGAAAATTTTCTAAGTTATAAATGTAGATAACGGATATGCAAATCTGTTTATCAAATAAAGAAAATGCTAAGACCTGAGAAGTATTTAATAAATACTTTAGGCAACCCGGAAAGAAGATAAACCTTAAATACTTAGGCAGATGCGTCTAAGTTATTAAAGGGATATGCAATGCAAAGTATAAAAATGCGAAGGCAGATTACGAAGGAAGGCAAATACTTCAAAGAAGTCAAAAAACTAAAATCGGAATATAACCGGCAATATTCAAAGCAAATTAAAAGGGGCTCAAGAGCCCCAATCAGAAACACAAAATTATAATTTACAACCGGCATCCTGGTCCTTCAAGCAGTGGGGTTGGAAGGAGTCTCCTCTGGCGCCGCTGGAACCTCAGTGGGCTGAGTGGTTACCTCCTCGCCCTCTTCAACAATAATCACCTCCCTTTCAGTTTGAGTGACAGAGTCACCCGTCGGAGATGCGGAAGTAGGAGGAATGATTTGGCCATTTCTGACGTACGGCCTGGAATGCAAGCCGGCCATATTCAACTGCATGCCAGGATTGAGGATCTGAAGTAGGCTTAAGGCATTGTTGAAGGAACCAGTGATGGATTTTTTGAGCTCACCCTGGTAATCGCCGGCATGCAGGTTGCGAAGCTGAGTGTTGTCCCGTTGAAGGTTGGTGAAACCCTCCTTCACCTTGTCCAGATCAGCAATAGTCTGATCATACTTCTCTTTGAGAGAGGAAAAATCCTCCTTCACCTTCAGCAGTTCGGCAACCGTCTTCGCCTTCTCCTCCCGAGATGCAGCGACCTCATTAAGGGTGCGAAGATAGTTGTGCTTAAGAGAATGTATAGGTCGTACCATTCCAGCCATCTTTAGGCAGCCCAGCTCCATCTCCTCCAGTTCCTTAATCTGGTCTGCGGTAAAAGGAGATGCGCTGAAGAATGGTTCTGGAGGGCAAATCGCATCGCGGAGAACACCACTCATCCCGAACTTCCATACAGCATGTTTGGCTAGCACCGGGGATGGAGGAGGGGGAGGAGTCTTGATCACTTGTTGGGAGGAGATAGGGGCACCAGTGTCAGTAGGGATCCCCTTATTCTTATTGCTGGTAGCAGCAGCATATCCTTTGTCAGCCGGGATCCCCTTGGCCTTGCCAGCGGCAGGCCTCTTGACCTTAAGGTATGAAGCTTTTCTTTTTCTGCTTGTCGAATTGACAACAGCATCCTTCTTTCCCTGGCTCAAAACGGCCAGCCAGCTGGGTTGTTTATTTTGCTGGTTTTCCATGTCGAGAACTGCAAGTCAAAGGAAATAAAGTCGGTTATAAGATACAACATAACTAATGCACATAAAAGAAAAACATACTTAGCTCAGCATCGAGTTATTCTTGAGACTTATAAATAAGGGATGCAACACTAGCATGCCTGTGTGATTGAAGATATGTACCAATGGCGATCGCATTATCGACATTCGTAGGGTCTAACTCGGACTCTTTGAAACCATAGCTCGACGAAGGAAGCTGATAGTGGTCAAATTACCAGTATAAGGGAAATTTTCCCTCCACATCCTCGAAGGCACAATTACTAAGAAACCATACCTCCTTACCGGGTTGTGCGAAAACCTTAAAGAACTTATCTTTGAAGTTTTTGAAAGAGTCAGTGTAAACTTGGAAAAGTTTGCGACCAGGAACACCTCGGATGGTGACCCAACCCTTTCGTTCTGGAGGTTCACGACCAGTTTGAGGGGTAACTGTTTGAAAGAAGAAAAAGAAAATGCAAACAGAAGGCGACAGAGCAATGTAT